TTAAATGGCAGCCCTAGGCTTGAGCTCAGGGCCTGGGCTTTCTTGCTTAAGGCTAGCCCTCTACCAGTTGAGCCACAGCTCCACTTTTGATTTTTTTGGTGGTTTACTAGAGATAAGAGTCTCACAGACTTTCCTACCTCAGCTGGCTCCAAACTACTTCCTTAGACTTTAACTTCCTGTATAGCTAGGATTACCGGTGTGAGCCACTGGTGCCTGCCTCCAACATCCCCTTTGAAGTTATGCCCTCAGTGACTGAAATATCTCTTAAAAGTTCTCCCTCTTCCCCCCAAAGCATCATGATTTGGCAACCAAGCCTTTAAAATATGGACCTTTTGGGGACACAGATCCAAACCATAGCATCTTAGTTCTGTACTGGCCATTGATTGGAGGCCTCAGTTCCCCATTAGTTGGGCCTCTCCAAAGATTGCTCATCAAGGTGCCTGTATAGAGAGTGGTCAAGGAGAGAGCAGAGCAAGAGCAAGCAGGCTGCCACAGGGCCTTTTCACATTCTTGTTTCTGGAGTTGAACACCTTCATTCCACTTTCTGCTATGTGTTCATTCCTCAGCCCAGCCCACGCGCCTCTTACTGGGAGGCATATTAGAATTTGGGCACCTATTTTACCACCAACAGAGCTTCCCTGAGTATGCCTGCTATAGACAAAGCCAGGGCTGTTATTCTGTACATGAAGACAATGGACCACAGTGGCAATTCCTTCATTGCTGAGTTCCTTTTAAAGAGCATGTGTTCCCCAGGGCTGAGACCCCATGTCATTACTCTTTCCAGCACCATTAGCTGGCATAAAAGCTGTGGAAACCACACTTTTGCTAATTTCCTGCATCTTAACTTTTCCTGTTGAGCTTTTTTTTGGCTTTACATTTTTTCTTTTCTGCCGGAACCAAAACCGATTTCTGCATTATTTTTTAATTTTTTTTTGGTCCGGTTGTGGTGCTTGAACTCTGGGCCTGGGTGCTGTCCCTCAGCTCTTCAGCTCAAGGCTAGCGCTCTACCACTTGAGCCACAGCGCCACTTCTGGCTTTTTTCTTTTTGCTTATGTGGTGCTGAGGAATCGAACCCAGGGCCTCATGCATGCAAGGCAAGCGCTCTACCACTGAGCCACCTTCCCAGCCCCTCTGCATTTTTTTTGACACTCTGAGTGGCAAAGGGGAAGACTCTAATGACACAGATTTCTTCTGCTCTTCATGGTGGGCAGAGCCTGTTGGTGTCACAGACCTTCTGGCTCTGAGAGTTGGAAGGCATTGCTAGGGTGGCTGTCCCCCAGCGGGCACACAGCCCCACCGCAGGCCACGCCTCCTCCGCAGGCCACGCCTCCTCCGCAGGCCACGCCTCCTCCGCAGGCCACGCCTCCTCCGCAGGCCACGCCTCCTCCGCAGGCCACGCCTCCTCCGCAGGCCACGCCTCCTCCGCAGGCCACGCCTCCTCCGCAGGCCACGCCTCCTCCGCAGGCCACGCCTCCTCGGGTTGCAGCTCTAGCGGCGTCCATGCCTACTGGTGTTGCAGAGCTCCACTGCTGGCATCTGTTGCTGCAGCTTTCTTGGGGTTGTTGTCTCAAGAACTCAATGAATGAATGCCACAGACACAAAGAGCGAGTACAGAAATCTTTGTTAAGAAGGGATCTGTCTACATCAGAGGCTGCTAGCCAGCCTTTCTTAGCGTGTTTGTTGTTGCTTTACCTGAATAGCACAGGTGGAGGAATTTATAAAAGTTTTTTTTTTGTTATTGTTGTTGTTTTCCTCACAGTTCTAGAGGCTACCAAGCCTAAGAGTGCAGTGCCACAGTAGCTGGTGATAGTCTTCTTGGCGTATTGTAGCATGGAGAGACAGCGCAAGCATGCTGGCATACATGGTTTTTCTTCTTATAAAGCCACTGATATTGATGTGGGTGCCCACCCTCATGATCTGATCTAATTTTAATTCCCAAAGATCCCACCTCCAAGACCATGAACATCTATATTTCAGGATTAAATATCCAACACATGAATTTTCCTTTGAGGGGAACACAAATAGCTCATCCCAAATCTCCTGAGGTTCAGGGAGCTAGAGGCAGTGGAGACTACAGGTCTATATAATGTCTTTGAACTGAGTGTGAGTGTGTATGTCTATAATCCCTGCATTCAGGAAGCTAAAGCAGGAGGCTCACTAGTTTGAGGCAAGCCTGTGCTTCATAGCAAGATCTTGTTTCAAGAAGCCCAAAACCCAAATAAAATGAAAACAGCTCTTTAATGTGTTTGTCTGCTGAGTCTACATCTATGCTAGTTCTGGGTCAGTTTCAGTTGACTGCATTTTCTCCTCAGTTTGTGTTGTTTTCCTGTGTATTTGTGTCCTTAGTATTTGAGTGTGGACATGTGTGCTGTGATTCTTTGGCACAAGGTATTTTTTTGCATTTCTATAAACATTCAAGTTTTTTTCCACGATGCAGTTGATTGGGTGGGCAGGACTACCGCTGTGCTTAGGTCTCATTTTTCTACTTATTAGGGCAAACCCTCCTGACTTCATTACTCAATGGAAATAGAACCTCTTCTGGCTTGTGTGCTCTGAGTATTGTTCCCTCTGTTTTCTCTTTGGCTTCAGGTAATCTGTCTATACATGTACGTTCATAGGTACCTAGCTGAAGACTTAGAACAGATCCTCTGAAGGTCTTTCTCTCTGTAACCTTTTCACCTTTGATTAACTGCCTTGAAAACTTTCATCATGTTGGCCTTTTGGAACTTCAGTGTCACGTCCTTAAACAAGGGATATCAGGGAACTCCTCCTCCATTCCTCCCCCTTAACTGTATGTTCTGAAAATTCCCTCTAGGCCCTCAGGTAAAAGCAATCCAATGAGTCGCCTTTTTTTTTTCCTTGGAGGTCAAAGTCTGCTATTGTCTGATGTTCTAGTACCCTGAAAACAGAAAAATGTCTTTTTTGTCCACTAGTGTTTTAATTGCTTCTTTCAGGGAGGTAAATCTTGCTTTGTCACTTACCCTCACCTGTCTGTATATATTTCTCTAAAACTTATCACTTGTGGGGCGAATATGATGGAACTGTAAGACATCAAAGTCACTAAGAGTGCTGGTAAAACTGTGGCTGAAGCGATACAAAGTGGTCCTCACTTTGTTCAAATGGAGTAAGGAGAGCACTTGGTGAGATGGTGTAAGTACTGGTGTGGGAAAGTAAGCTGCCTCTGCTCGGGAGCTTCAGAGGAGGCCATTACCTTAGGGTTTTGTCACAAGAGAGCCTCCTGCTAATTGAGGCCATGGAAGGAGTTTGTTTATAGCTGAATAAACTTTCATTGGATCATACTAAAAATGACTGTAATAGCTGTCAGCAGTAGATTTTTGTAAAAAAGTTTCATAAAAGCATAGTATAGGAAATAGAAACATGATTTTTTTTGTTACTGTGGTTGTTGTTGGTGTTTGTTTTTGCTTTGGGTTTTTCTTTTAGGAAAAGCAAAGAGGGGGTGTAGAAAGGGAGGAGGAAGACAAAAACAAAGGCAATCATACTCTTCACTATGTGGAAAATGACCTCTGCAATCTGTGGGCAGATATGGAAGGGGAAAACTAGGGAAGGGATGACAAAATGTAAAATGAAGCATACTCAAAAAAAAAAAAAAAAGAAGCATACTCCTTACCTGACTTATGAAACAGTAACTCCTCTACACAGCACCTTGATAATCATATGTTAAAATAATAGTTTACAAATGCAGAGCAGTAGGACAAGGACATAATATGAAAGTCTTGATTGACAGGGCAAAGTCATAGAGATGAAATGTACTCTAGCTAATCAGCCCACAGAGGCTGAGGTGCCAACTAATGTGGGAGGTCTGAAGGTGGCCAGCAGGTATTAGCCAGCCTTCCAGATGGCTCTACTCATTCTTACATTCTGTCATTTACACCTTTGTGTAGGCCCTACCCAGGTGGAATAAGATTGACTTTCATAGCAATGAGATATTATGGAGATGACAGAGTAGGAGTTCCAAACCTAGGACATAATAGAAATGGGGGCTTCTGTCTTGGGTTTTCTTGCATTGCTGGTTGAGGATACGTTAGTAACTTGTGGAGAGAGCCACATGGGGAGACACGGGGCACCTTTGCAAACAACATGCAAGACATGTGTTGCTGCCTTGGAAATGCACCTCATCTCAGATGACTACAGCATACTGGGACTCTGCAGTTACTACCCAAAAGAAGGCCCTTAAAAAAATGTGGTCTCTTGATCTTGGACCTCCCATCTTCTAGGACCTTGAACTGAATAAACTCTTATTCTATATAAACAAAAAAGCTTGTAGCAGTTAGTTATAGCAACAGAAAACAGCCTATGACAAAAAATTGGATAACTCTAACTGATATTTTGGGCTTGATGAGATCTTCAAGGCAGAACCAAGCAGCTGAACCATTCCAAAATTCTGACCTAAGATGAAGTTTTCATCATCCAAAGTTTGGATACTCAAGCAGACAATTAACATACCTGCCAGTCAACTTTGTGGGTAAGAGGCAGCAGTTGCTCTACTTTCTGAGTATAAAAATAATTCAATTTGTATATCCTACAAAGTTTTTAAAAAGCAAGGGAAGGGGAAAGTTGGGAGGGATAGGTGAGAATTTGAAAGGGGTAATGTTCAAGATCCATTGTAATTATAAACTGCTTTGTTAAATGGGAACTCCTTTGTACAATTACTTAAATCTAAAAAACCCCAAAACACTACAGATGCTTTAACTCTGCCCTCTACATCTTGTACTAAATGACTCCTGGGGCTCACTATAACTAGGAAAGTAGAGAATAGGATTCTGGGAAATATAGTTCATACTTTCAGTGCCTCCATATTGCAAAAGCATCTTAGATTCTGTTACCAAGTTGTTCTTGTGATGGGTGCAGCCTGCACCCTCAGCAATATACCATGACTGGTCAGGGGTCAACATGTATTGAGTTGAGATATTAACACAAGGTAACATTGTACAGTCGAATGATTTTCAGGGCTTAATAAAAATGACTGTCACTCACTCTGCTTCACAAAAATTTTTTAATGAATAAATAATTTGATGAAATCAAAAAGTATTTACAATATAAACAAATGGAAAAAGCTTTGGATCTGTAAATCTGACCATGTTGCATTTCTGAACTGAGTCCTCCCAAGCTTTTCCCTTGGAAACAATACAAATCTGGTAGAAACGACCACTCATCGAACATATCTTTGTTCAGTACATGTTTATCTGTTAGTCCTGGAAAAGCTACAGAAGCTTATGTGACATGTTAAAATACAAATATTAACTAAAAATAATATATTATCATAATGCCAGGTAGCATTCTCCACAGAACAAAAACATACACTCAGCTGTAACAATGACAAAGGATCACGGGCCACAAAAAAATATCCCAAAAGTACAAATTCCTTCATAAGAATATAATTGTGCTCTTCAGTTGACCAGATGTCTCCACCGTGCTCACAGGCCTGTGATGAGGAATACAGTGTCTGACGACTGTGCGCTGTGTGTGTTTCTGTCAGGCAGCAGCACTACTGGGAATTGGGCAGTGCAAGCAGTTTTATAAACACTTTCTGGGGCTCTTAAAAAGAGCCAATTATGCAAAGCAAAATAAGCATACTGAGAAATTGTCATCTCATCTACACAAATACCATCAGACATCTTGGCATTGTGGCAGGAAAGGTTTCTGTGCAGAGCTGTGGATGCCATTAGCCAGAATTCAAGTATTCCAGAGCCACCTCATAGCAGAACTTGTATTGATCCTGGAAAACAGATAAAGAATGGTGTCAGCTTTGTACCATCTAAACACTGCTTCTATTCAGGCAGTTATACAGTTAAGGGTCTTAATTAGAAGAAATCAAATTGATAAGGATCTGAATTAGGACCCAATTAGTAAGTCATAGTTCTAAACATAAGTATATTCGCTGTTCATAGAGGTTCCCCTAAAAGCCATGTTCTGATATCTATGCTTATTAGAACTCCTGGACCACCAAAAGCCACATACAGTTACCTTTCTGTATCACTGAGTTCTGCATACTTGGATACCACCAAGTTTAATTCAAAGTATCTGAAAAAAATGTGTCTGGGTCAGGTGCTAGTGATACATATAGGTGCTTCCTACAATCCTATGGGCAGAGATCTAAGGATCAAGGTTTGAAGCTAGCCTGGGCAGAAGAGTTAGTAAGACTTCTATCTCCAGTTTACCAGGCAAGAAGCCAGAAATGGAGGTGTGGCACCAACCTTGCATGGACAAAAGCCAAGTGAGAGCACAAGGCTCTGAGTTCAAACCTTAGTACATGCACATACCCATGCACATGTACACATAAAACACAAAATAACAAGCAAATAAAAGAGGAAGAATTCTCTCTGTACTGACTATGTAAGCTTTATCAGGTTATTATAATACATTTCTCTATACACTAGAGAATAACCGCTACTTATATCGTATTTACATTGTATTAGGTCCTGTAAATTATCTAGAGATTAAATATAAGTATACAAAAGCATACAAAAAAACCTATGCCTAGGTTACATAAAATATGTGCTGCTAGTCCCAACGTCAGGAACTTGGGCTTCTGAACATTTGGTATTTTGGGAAGATCCAGTGTTCCAGAAATAACAAGGAAGATTGTCCTCACATTTACCTATGTATCAACAATCTGAGGGAACTCAAGAGGTGGAAGGAAGAAGAGCCCATGAAGACAGGTTGAAACGCTTTAAAGGTTGCGCTTACTAGTCCCCTTTGTCCATTTCTACCAGGTTTCCCTACTGTTAGAAGTTTTCATAATAATCCTTAACGAACCTTTCTGTTTCTCTGGTATTGGTTGTATTGTCTCCTTTTTATTTCTGATTTTCTTTATTGTATCTTCTTTTTTGAGTTTAACAAAAGATTTTGTTACCTGGCTTACAATTTAAAAGAAACTCAACTCTTGTTTCAAAGAGCATTTCTATTTTTAGTCTCCATGTTGTTTATTTCTACTATAATCTTTATTTCTGGGTTTGGTTCATTTTGTTTGAAGTATATATTATATGTAGATATACACAGATATGGATATAATTTTTTCAGGATGGGGATTGAATTCAGGGCCTCATGCTTGCTCTGCGGGTATTCTAAAACTTGAGCCAAGCCTTGAACATCTTTCTTTTTGTCTTGGCCTAGACTGTGATCCTGCTGCTTGTATTTCCTCACATCACTGGGGATGACAGGTATGTGCTACCATGCCCGGCCTTGGTTGAGATGGAGTAATGAATACTTCTTTTTTCCCAGGCTGCCCTGAGCTGCAGTCTCCCAATCTCTACCCTCCAAATAACAAAGATTACAGGATTGAGGCACCTTGCTGAGCTTCATTTTTTTTGGAAGTATTTACTTAGTTGCTACAAATTTCCCTCTTAGTATGGCTCTTATTGAACTCAAGTTCTGTTATGTTGTGTTTCCATTTTCATTTGCTTTGAGAAAAGTGTAAATTTCCATTTTAATTTCATCCATGATGTTGCTTCCATAGTGTGTTGTTCAGTCTGAATGCATTTATATCATTTCTAAAATTTTCTTTCTTGTTGACTTCATTCTACTCCATTGTGATCAGAAGAGGTACTAGATTTTCAATTTTGAATGTGGTTTTGCATTGTGATGGAGTATATGGTCTTTTCTAGAGATAGTTCTATGTGCTGATGAAAAGAATGTTTATTCTGTTGGGTGGAATTTTCTATAAATATATGTCAAATCTGGTTCATATATTATAGGTTAGTTCTATTATAGGTTCTATATTATTAGTTCTATTATAGGTTAGTTTGGTCTAGATGACCTGCCATTTCTGAACTCTCCACTAGTATTGTACTGAAGCTCATCTCTCCCTTTAGTGCTAATAGTTTTACTTTATAAAACTGGATGATCTGATTTTAGGTGCATGTAGATTTACAATTACTATTTATTCCTGCTGAATTGATCTAACGATTCCTTCTAATGATTCCTATCTTAAAGATATAGATATATTTGATGAATTTGAAATCATGCTGAGTGAAAGGAGTTAAGCCCCAAAGGTCTCAGATTGTATGATTCTATTTGTGCAAGATGTCCAGAATAGGCAAGGTTATAAACACTGAATGTTGACTGATGTTGGTTCTAAGAACAGAAGAGTGAGTAATGGGGAATGATTGCTATCATGTAAGGGGCTTCTGGTGGTGATGGAAGTGTTATACATTTGAAGACGGTGGTGATGGTTGCATAGTTCTGTGAATACAGTGGAAGTCACTGGAGTGGATGCTTTAGAAGAGCCAATTTTATGGCATTTGGGTTCTAGTTCAATAAAGCTGCTATACAAATCTCCAGGAGAAAGACACTACCCATTTCATGCTGTGATTCCTGCTTCCTGTGTCAGTCAGGAGTTCAGGTGGGACTGAACAAGCTTTGTGTGAAACGTGAGTTCAGTTGTCTGAATGCTCTGTACTGAGCAGGACCCCAAGGTCCTGAGATATGGTACTCCTACAGTTTGTAAAATAGGTCTGTCACATCTACAACCCCCTTCTAGCCTTGTCAACCTAGGAATCTTATGAAGTTTGGACAAAGTTGGCTTTTAAAGCAAAGCTGATGACACAAGTGAATAATTTTAAACTTTCTCATCTTGCAAATAACAAGAACCTTCCCAATCTACCCTAACTAGTGCACTCTATATAAGTTTCCATTTTGTTTTGTTTTCTTCTTTTCTTCCTCCCTCCTCTTCTCCTTTTCCTCTCTCTCTTCCTTTTATTTCTTTCTACTCTTGAACTATTACTTGCCCTAAGCAAAGTTATATTTCTGATTCACATCTTAGCATTTATTATTTTAGGATTGGATAGTCTTACTTTTGGAGCATTTACAAGACATAATTTGAATTTCAAAATTCTAAAAGGCCATGTTGTCAGATCGCCACACTGACAAATAGGCCACTTAATGCTGCAACCATTTCTCTTGTTTCTGTGAATCACTGGGATGATTATTTTATGGAAATCAAATCCCTCACTGCATAAAACTGACTTTGGACAAGCCTAACTGCCATTAATTTCAGTGACTGCTATGAAGGATCGGTTAGCGAGAGTGGGACCTATGGATTCTGGCCCTCAGGCAGTGCACAAGGTAGAGACTTGGAGGAATTTTCAGCTTCAAGGCTGCCCGGAAGCTGCCAAAGTTGCCTTGTCTCAGACATGACTGTAATTTTCAAAATGAATTCCCCCTCTCCTGTCTTATCCCTCCCAAGCAAGCTGCCAATCCCCATAGATTCTGTGATGACTGGTTTGTGAATCAGAAAAATAAGGGGAAGGAGAAGAAAGACCATGAATTGCCGTGTCCCTGACTCCAAGCACCTGGGTAAATGCCTGAAATCTTCCTACATTGGAAACTGATTATACTTGATCACCAGGTACAGGCCTGTCTTCTGCAGTTTCTTCTGTCAGCTTACTTGCTTCTGAATGCTATAATTAAGCCACATGAGCTATCCCCATGCTTCAGAGGAAAAAAAGAAAACAGAAAATTTATGCCTTGGTCCTAAATCTTCCCAAATTGGGTGACATTAGCTAGCTGTGGGCATGGATTGAGTGTAGGGAGCAGGGGCTCTGTGCTTAGCCTGGCCTTCCTCACAGCCTTGTGTGGCACAATCTGGTGTGGAACAAGGATGTACTTCATGAACTTCAGAACTCCATGCACAAGAGGGAAGTGAGAAAGGCTCTGGCTTATAGAATGGGCATCTTTAAACCCCGTAGTGTGTTACATACAAAGAGGCACAGGCCAGAGTTCCAGTTAGATGGGAAATGGTCTTTGCTTGAGAAGAAGCAAAGCTATCCAAAGGTATAAGTGCTTGGTGCAAAGTTATTCTAATATGGAGGAGGAGGATCCAGGAAAGAAAGAAACCCTGACGTTTCCAGAAGTGCCCTGGACATCCCCTAGGGATCTGGGTGAATTTTATTTGTATTTTAATAGTCAGGAGGCATTAGCTGACACAGCTCAAAGTCAGATGATCAGAATCTGTATTTGCCTTAGAACAACTCTGCCAAATCAGTAGAGGCATTTGGGGAAGAATGATGAGATCAGCCATTCTGAACATGAAATCATGGATCAAGTGGTAGAGCATCAATCTGAAATAAAAACAAGCAAGAGCACAAGGCCCTGAGTTCAAGACCCAGTACCAGCATAAAAAAGGGGAGTAGGCGTAGATCAGCCATTCACTAACTGGCTGGCTGAATGGTGCCTTTAGAAGCTTCCATTCCTTTCTGGGGGAAACCGTGTCTTGTTGAGTCAGAGCCATGTGAACCTCAAAGACAAGTGAGGAGGTCAAAGGTGAAAGGTGCCCTCTTGGGAAGCAGACATTTACATGTGACTGTCACATCTTCAAAGCTGTTCAGCCCCAGGGACTTCATTTTACGAAGCTGGCTGTTGCGGTCTGCCATCTGGGGACCCATGTCTTTGATGGGACCTAACTAAGGCGGGTCGAAGAGATAGAGACTTTAGAAGCCAGGCTGAAAAGGGGTCAGGGACAAATGCAGCTGCTTCTGCAAGATGAAAAAAAAATCGAATCTAATGTTCTAAATCATTTTCCCTCCTGGCAATCTATTGGCTTTTCTCCAAAGCCCCCAAAATATAGAATTTGAAGCAATCAACTTTCAGGGTCTTCTGGATCTCCCTTGAGAATGTTAGGCTTCCAAATGAATAGACAGGTTTTCAAGTCAGGTGCCACTTAAAAACAGCAGAGCCACCACAGGAGATTGAGAGAGACAGGCTGACCTTCCTGTGTTCCTCCCAAAAGACTGGAAGCAAGCCATTGCACTTCTGAGTTCGAGCTGGAAGGGGCCACAGCAGGTCTGCACCCAGTGGGCAGTATGAGGAGACCCAGGGGGTCCTAGACCAGCATTTGCCCCCATCCCACTATGCTTTCTCACTGGCTAGCTCAGAAGCATGCCCCAGAGCTTTCCAGAACACCCCCCTGAAGACAAAAATCACAAGACTCAGCACACTGCCTTTCTCAGCTGCTCCCAACATTCCTTGCTCAGGACTCAGATTGCCTGTTATGCCCAGAGCAATCATCCCAGACTTTACTACCCTGACCTCCATTAATTGATTCATTCAGCCAACATACTCAATTGTGAATACCAAACTAAATAGAAATAGGACTTCCAGGCAAAAACCAAACAAACGGCAAGCTCTTAGTCAATTCCAGGAGCTTGAAACCCACTAAAAAAGAGCAGAGCAATGTGACCCCCCCCCACACACAACATCACCAGATATAATCTATTATCCTATTCACAGTCCCATGACAGATCTAGCAGGTTATTTTCTTAGGAAATCTCACAACTTTCCTACATTTCTCAGCTACTGACCTTATCCTAAAACTGGGGCTAACCTTCAGAGATCCGAACATCAGTTTTCTCTATCAGAATTACCCATGGATGAACAGTTGGGTAGGAGAAGTGGCTTCCGATACTCTACAGCCCAGCTGGAGAACTATGACAGAAATCAAGGACTTCAGTAGAATGAGTAAAGAGGTTCTGACATGTTCTCAAGACTAGCGACCATTATACAGCATGATACCGTGTCACATGCGATCCCCTAAACATGTACAATTACTATGTGTCAGTGAAAGATATCAATTTTCCTTTGACTGTGAACAAAAAGGAAAAAAAAACTCATGATGATAAAAATCTCCTAAGTTACTGTATAATTTCTGGTGATAACCGCAAGCTTCCTCAGGTCTAGTCAGCTAAGTCTCCATTTATCTCATGAAGAAGCACCCGTCCCATACTCTGCATTGCTGATTTGGAAAGAGTCCCATTATTTCTGCCCATAAAAATTCCTGAGTGATGAAAGCAACAGTGGAACCATTAGAGGAATGGCCTGGCGGGTCTGCTTCTAATGATCTCCTTAACTCAGGCTTACTGAGAGGGAAATGACTCGCCTTTTTTCACATCAAGGTAAGCTCTGCCTAAGTACCAACCAAAATTTGGACGCTTCAGATCTGCCTTTGAGTTTCACAGCCTGAGATTTCAATTCCATCATCTGCCAGCCTTATCTGTTCTTTATAAAGTTCTTTAGAAAGCTCCCACTGACCAGATGGCTTTGCTCTCAAGTGTTCCAGCCTAACAGGCCCTGGTAGAGTACCAACCTTGAGTGAAAAAGCCAAATGAGAAGTGAAGCCTTGAGTTCAAGCTTCAGTACTGGATAAAATAAAACTCCAATACTCTCAACCCTGCTGCCCAGAAGACTGAAAACTTTAGTATTTGTGTGGTATTCCAGGAAGGGAGATAATCTTGGCTGATTTTACTAAAGCCCACACAAGACGGCCTTTTAGCTCATCTACATGAAGTCTGTTACTATGTACAAGGGACTCAGAGCCAGTACGCTGAACATACTGCAAATGCTAGCTGTCAGTATCTCCCTTGATGCTTGTTTATAACTGGCTTCCTCAGGCTGGGAAGGCACAGCGCTTAGTAGATACCTACACTGCCAAAAACCATCTCGCTCCTCTTTCCAAAACATTTCCACATGTATCTTAATCCCCTTAATTTACACAACTCAAACCCAAGGAAGTGACTTATTCAAGGACACTTACGATGCAAGATTAATGTACCCAAGGCCACCTACCCTCATTTAGTCTTCCCATAGGGCAGCAGTTTGGGGAACACAATCCATTTGCCACAGAAGCCAATATGCTAACTGCACACAAGTTTGAGGGCTATTCGTTCATCCACCATATGCCCTGGCCAGCACCAGGCTTCTTAAGAGTAGAATGGCTCCTCAAGCATAAGACATGTATGTGGGTACCCCTGGAGAATAGCTTGTGGTGAGGAAGACTTGCCACCCAGAGCTGGCTGTCATGTGTCATTCCTGTTACCCAGTTGCAGATATTTGTGCAGTGACTCTTCAATTTACACTAGGGGACCATGAGTATTTTCTCAACTTCAGCTTGAATCTTGGTATTTTAGTCCTCTTATATACTTGTTGGTGATAAAGTTTGAACTCAGGGTCTTGCACTTGTTAGGCTGGCAGACTCTCACGTGAGCTATATCCTTATCTTTTTCTGATTTGGTAGGCCTTGATCCCTAATCCTCTAGATATCAACCTCCTGGGTAGTTAGGATTACAAATGTGAGCTGGATTCCTTTATCTTAGTTTTTTAAGCTCCTCTGTATCCCTACAGTACTGTAGCCTCTAGAACCCAGGCCTTCTGCGCTTGGCAGCCATTGGCCACCTCTTCTCCCCCTCTCTTCCCTAGGCCATCGCTTCAATCCTGGATTAGTCTTACTGTTTCCTTCAGATCCTTCCTTCTCTCACAGAGAAACACAAAAACCTAATCAAAAAGCTGCCTCCTTGAAGCTATTCTCCTATTCCTGAGTCACTGTGGTTGGCATTTCAACAGCTCCCTATAAAAAGAGGATTTCATGAAATAGTCTAAGAAAATAATTGCACCTCATTCTTTGTTTTTCAACTCCTTTAATCCTTTTCTCAGATATGGCCACCATAATTAAGTGCAATATTCTGGATGTCAAACTAAAATTCACAGCTTTGATAAATATTAGGCGATTAAGCTATTTATAAAATATATAATTTGGAAATCTGGCATTTTGTGTGCTATGATTATTTCTTCTCAGTAAAGAATAAGTGCTTAGCCACGTGGAAGGCGCTGCCAGGAAAGGAAATTAATAAGGATGTTCACTTGTGAGTTTCAACTACTTCTTCATTTTAAACAAGCTGAGACAGTCTTCTTGTGAAAAAACAAGGAGAGGAGACAGAAAAGTGAAAAAAGGGGAGAAAATTCCTTTGAGCAAAGCATTAATGCTATGTTTTTGAAAATGAGTCTCTTCCTTTATCAGTATCAACACAGGGTTGTACAACCCTGTGCTAGTACAGGGCTGTCCCGTTTCTCATGAAAGAAATGGCAAGGACCCATGCTTGGGGATGTCCCTCAGGGGAGAGGAACTGTAGGCCTATGCTAATTCAGACAAGTGCTATGCTAATTCAGGACAAGGGAATGGCGTTCTGTGCTAATAAGTGTATGCCCCAGGGGGAGGAGAGAGAAGCATCCTACCAGAAGGTCCACCATATTGGGCTTGTTGTTCCTTAGTGTCTTCACAGCATGGAAGACATCCACAGTTCTCTGGTGTCGAAGCATCTCACAGACAATGCTGATGGCGCAAAATGTGCCACTGCGGCCTCCTCCATTCCTGTCAGAAAGAAATTAGATGGTAAGACAATGTTGGCCTTTGCAAGGCACCTTGCACATAATCTGTGGAGATTTGTGGTATAAACTCCGGAGAACTAGGTATGATGAAGACCTCCATCAGGATGTGAATGATCCACTGGGACTTGAGCCAAGTCCGTTAGTTAAAGGGAATAAGGTATTCAAGTGTGTGCTTCACTGTTCACCTGCCTGGAGGACCTTTCCTTTCCTAGCTTTGCCTCTGCCCTCCATTATGTTATCTGATACTGTGCCTTATTAATTTTTATACAAAGAGCCTACAACCCATTTTCCACAAACAGACATTTCATCGGATGTCTGCTATGAAAACGTGACAAATGTGGGTTATATTCAAAGACATATCTGGCCTTAAAAGAAAATCCATTAGTATTTCACCATCTCACAAACATGAAGGTTCTTTTTAAATAAAAAATATTTTGAGCTCATTTTAGATGTGTGGAACATTGCAAAAATAGCGTGGAGATTTTCCTTATGTAACCAACTTCCCTGATATGAACATAATAATATTTTATTTATTCTATGAGATAAAAATGTTATCAATATGTATAGAGCCACAGCACACAATCAAAATGAGTAAGGTTAACAGTACTGTAATACTACCAATTGTAACATAGACTGCAGTCAAATGCCACCAGGCTCTCCATTAATGTCCTTTTTCTGGCCCAAGGACCACATCTTGCATTTGGCTGTCATGTTTCTTTAACTTCCTCCAATCCATGACAGTTCTTCCTGTTTCCTTATCTTTCCTGACTTTGATGCTGTTGAAGAGCTCTAATTGGTTATTTTGCAAAATACAGAGCACAGAATGTAGAAGATAGGGTGTAGAAAGTACTTATGGAACACTGAGAATTGAAGGCTCACAGTTGAGGCCAACCTGGGCCCCAAAGACCCCATTTCAATGAAGAGGTGGACATAGGGACACACATGTACCCTTATCTAAAATAACCTGTGAGAGAGCCCAAAAAGCTGAGCTGTGAGACTAGAAAGGACTGGGAGTTAGGAAAGCCTCCTCCCAACATGAACTCTCAGAATGCTGAGTGTTTCCTGAAAGGTCAATCAGGTGGTGTTTTTTTTTTTTTTTTTTGTATTATGTATAATGATCACTTGGTTGATCTTTCATAGTAATTGACTCTTAAGGATTTTATTAAAAAGTAGCCAAAAGATTCAGTGCTGAATGAAGTCTGGGGGGGAAGGAATGGTGGTTATGCAGAGACACTGGGTTTAGAACAGTGATGAAATTCTACCTGCAGCACAGAACTGAGAATATGGGTGGTGGGGAGATGGGGGCTGCATCCACCAGTAAGCCCAGCTAAGATTGCATCTTCTCTATGGGCAGAGTAGTTTTAGTTGAGAGGAGGGGGAGAGAGAAGGTAGGAGTGGGCTCTGGAGAGTGTGTGGGACAAGGATAAAACTTGATGAACGGCTTGCTTTTCAGTAAAGACTTACCTTGCATCATGCTGTCACTAAAGGCAGTCAGGCATTCCTAAAATTTCAGTCTCTCCCAAAGACCCAGGGCCACATCTGCAGCCTTCTCCCCCTTGCCGCCCTGGCAGATTTACCTCAACGTTCTGCTTACCCTGTTTTCTCTCTCCCAGTAACAGCCTCAAGCAGGCTTCTTTGTGCGTCTTGGTTCCTGACCTAATCTTGCTTGTATTGGGTAGCATGGGGATAAGAATTTAACTGGTTATTCTTGAGTTTCTTTTGCAATAACCCAATTTTATAATCTTTAAATACAAAAAAAGGTCAGTCAGTCCTGGTTTGATAGGAATTCAGATATCTATCCTGGGTGATGGCTAATTCAACCCCAAACTTTCTGGGAGCTAGGGGATAGACAATAGTCTATGCAAATTGTGAGACATTTAGTGCTTACCTTTACCTCCTAAGGAAGTCACTTATCACTTGAATAAGATTACATCACATGTTGGTACTGGTGACTTCAAGAAATTTTGATACCTCACTTTCAGCACATATGCCCCTGTACCCTACTCGATAAATACCTTGCTAAAAGGACCTGGGGCACCAGAAGCTGGCCGAAGGCTTCAGGCCCTTGGTGCTCCACACCTCAATTTCAACATCTGGTAACCTTGTCCTTGGTTGCAGCAAGTTGTGACAATAACCAGCAAAAATCAGGGCTGGAGACATGGCTTTGGGTAAGAGTGCCAGCCTTGCAAGTGTGAGGACTTGAGTTCAAATTCTGGTACCACCAAAAAAAAAAAGAGGGACAGAGAGAGATGTCTGATGTCTGATGATTGGCCATGTCTTAAGGGAGACCAAGAATTTTGGCAAGAAAATCACAGAAGAGAAATTACATCCTTGAAGGGATTTGTGATGTTGATCGTATTCTTGGTAATGTCTTCCTTGCTCACAAGATGATACCTGCCGATTGTTTTTACTACTAAGTGATCATTTTTCTTTTTGTTAATACATTTTTCTCTTTGCTAATAATGAGGAAAGATTCCTTGGGACTATGTAAATATACTGTTTCTCTACAACGGTTTGCTTACTGACTTGCTCATCCACTGGGAGTGCTCCTCTCCAAGAACCTCTGACTGTGTTACCTGCCCAGTGTTGACTTTGTATTTTCATTCCTCATTCAACATCTACCACAAGAAGGAGCAGTCTTCTGTACCCATTTAAAAATGTATTCTTGATTTTGTTATTTATGTAAGTATTTACAGTGATATTTTATTCTAGGAGCCAAAATCCAATGTCACCAATATTTTATGGCTTAAACTGTTCCACATCTGGCCACTAGAAGTGCCATTGGATTCACTCCCATGTTCTTGTCACGCACCTCTGTTCTCTTTTGAGCTTTTCTTTACTTTCTAGAACTGTAAGATGTTCAGGCTCATCTTGTACTTTCATTACTCCCACTCTGGGGTCAATCTCTTTTTCCATGGAGCTAAACAACCTTTACATTCACCACAACTGGCCTTTGAACTCAAGACATTGCACTTCCTTGACTTGCTGGCTCAGTTAACTTTTTATTACTTGAGCCATGCCTCCACCCAGTTTTTTGCTGGTTATTTTTTGGTAGATGAGGTCTCTCAGACTTTTCTGCCAGGACTGGCTTCAAAATTCAATACTGACCTCATCCTCCTAAGTAGGTAGGATTACTGACATAAGTCACTGGTACCTGGCTCAAATTATTTTTAAACACAATATTGTTATTACATCTGACATCAACATTATTGTGTTAATATAATCAAATATATAGCTAGTGTTCAATTTTTTCAGATTTTTTTAATAATTGCTTAATTCTGTGTTTAAGTAAACTTGTACATTACACTTGATTGGTATGTCAGACAAGTTTATTGTAATCTATAGGTTTCCTTTCTGTTCTTTTATTTTGGGGAATTTATATGTTGAAGAAACGGAGTATCTGTCCTGTAGAGAGCTCCACATTCTGGATTTTTCTCATTCATTGTATTTCCCTGAGAGCATTTAACCTGTTTCTCCCTAATCCTATATGTTCTGTTCTTTGGTGGTTAGCACTAGAACTTGAAAAGGAAACAGGTTGGACAAATAGATGGATAAATACATCCCTTTATTCATACAAAGGTGCTTTATGACTATATTTTCCTTAGGAAGCATAACATACTTGGTTTTTGTTTTGTAATTTTAAGATTGGGCATTGACAATGATTGTAAATCACTATTGTAAATGTTAGCTTGATCAGCCCATAATGAAGTTTTATGTCGTCTTTTTAAATAAAGAATAGCATACCTATAATCAAGTCCATGAATCGTAAGTAGGATTCTGGATTAATTTTATCAAATGAACACAGCATGTTGGCTCTACCAGATCTGGACACAGACCATGGTCAGCCTCCTGGGCCTCACTCACCTGCCAAAACTTGACAGTTCCATCTCTGTTTCTTTTTTCTGGTACCATACATTATTTCTGTTTTGAACTTGGCCTAACTGGAATTACACAGTATGTACTCCTTCACGTCTGACTTAGTTCACTTAATGTTATCTGTGTGACTTGCCCCTGCATAGTATCAGTAATTTGTTTCTTTATATTGTTAAGATTTCCTATAAATATGTATACTCTAATTCACTTATCCAATACCAATTGTTTGGGCTGCTTCCAGTTTATAGGTATTATGAGTAATCCTGTGATTAACAAGCCCAATGACACAGAACTCATTTCTGTAGTCACTTATCTAGAACAGAAGAGCTCCAATAGCGTGTGCATGTCTAGCTCTGGTAGATAAAGCCAAACAGTTCCAAGACAGTTTAATGATAGTTACTTCCTACCAGCAGTGCATTACAGTTCCAGTTTCTCCATAGTTTCACCAACACTTGGTACTATCATCTGTTTTTGTTTTGTTTTGTTTTTTTTACATGTCAGCCACTGTGGTGGCGTGTAGTGGTATTCAGTCCTGGTCTTAATGGGTTATTTTCCTAACAATGAATGGTGTTGAGTATGCAATAGCTGTTTGGATAGGTTTCTCCCTCTTTAGTAATGTGGATCTCACTAAGGGCCTTACACATGCTAGGCAAGGGTTCTACCATTGAGTTATATCCTTATTCCTTTCCTGTAAATGCAGTGCCATTTTTTTTTTGCCTGTTTAAACAATTGATTTGTCTGTCTTGTTTTAATGACTTGCACTAGTTCTTAGACATTCTGGCCCTGACTGTTTTTTGAGATGTATGGAGTGCAAAATTCTCTTCCCTGTCTTGCTTTCTGCTCTCATATTAATGTCTCCTGATGGATGGAGGTTCTCGTTTTAATGAAATCCGATTTACCACTGTTTTTGGTTTTATGGTGTTCCATATTCTTTGTGAATAGTTTTGTGTGCTCTGGTCTCTCTTAACAAGTCTTTGATAATCTTGCATTTACAAAGAGTTTCTCTGGTGTTTTCTTGAAGGTTTGTTGTGCTTTCACATTTTGGGCCATGATCCAAAGATTGCTATTTATAATGGGCGTTCTCCCTACCACTCTCTGTCAAGCTGCAGGGACAGAGGCTGTAAATCGGTGGCAGGGAGCTGTGGTCCTGCTCTGGCCCCTCCCTTGCTTGTTAGTCTGTTTCCTGTCACTAGACTGCTAGTCTGCTGCCTTGTTTGCACCATCAGCTTTTCATCTGATTTCAGCAACATCTATTACTTTCATTGAGTCTCAAAATGGCAGTGTCTTAATTCAGCTCCTTTTTTTCTGGTTTCCTAAGATGGAAAACGTTTTAAAGGAAAGCATCCCCTTCCTGTATGTGACCCAAGGCACTATTCCACTCTTAAGTGTCTGCAGAGCTCTTCTTTTTTTAAAAAAATTATTTATTTTTTTATTGTGAGAATACCATACAGAGGGGTTACAATTACATGGGCAAGATAATGAGTACATTTCTTATCAAGCATTGTCTTCTTGAAGGTCAGGCATTCTCTCTGCTCTGAGCCAATAGGTGGCACTGCACCATGCAAATCTTTACCTTGAAGAGGATTAGTACAATGTTTCTGAAACGCTCTTTCCTGAACAATACTGGACAAGAGCAACTTAAACTTATTTGTTATAGTTTTAATAACTCTTCTTTCCCCTGTCTTGTTTTTTTAAATTAGTACTCGTATTTTTTTTTTTTGCAGTGGTTAAAGCCAGAATTGAATATTCTGTGGCTTCTAGTTTTAAAAACTCTACTGGGGCTTGAACTCAGGGCCTCACACTTTCATTGGGCTTTTTCACTCAAGACTAATGCTTTACCATTTGACCCATCATTTGAGCCTTTTGGAGGATAACTGGGGATCAGAGTTTCAGGAGATTTTACTGATTGTACTGTAGGGTGCCTTAGAATCTTGATCCTCAGATTTTAGACTCCTGAATAGCTAGGATTATAGTCGTGAGCCACCAGCACCCAGCTTCAGTTTTAAAATGTCTTATTCAAAAATTTAGAAATGTAAATGACAACCCTCTTGGGCCTAAGTATTATGCCCAACTAGATGCTAAGAGAGAAGACAGTAGCTTCATGCTAAGATAAGACCATGGGTTGTTTTGTGTGGGGAGTGAATAGTTACCCCCCCCCCAAGAAAAACTGAGGTACCTTCCCCATAGGAAAGGACAGGGATATCAGGGAGGCAGAAGTACAGAACAACAGACATCTGCCACTGTCCATGACAGCCACACAGCCATGGTGAATGATAATACATGGAGCAGCAAGTGGTTGTTTAGTTTGAGGGTCAAAGCTGATTCATGGAGAAGAACATTGTCCAGGGGTTATGGGACTTGAAGGTTTTTAGAAAAAAAATTTCCCTTACAACTGTCTGGGTGTCTTAATTTCCTCCCCTGGTGACTTAGTCCTGTGGATTAAAGTTTTTTTTTCTAGAAATCTCCTGATCTAGGTACTGGATTATGTTTCCAGATCTTGTGCTGGAGGTCTTTAGGCACAGGAGAACTATGTGAAAAATATCTTTAGTATCTAAAAGTACTGAGTTGATGGAGTGGGGATCTAGCTGAGTGGTAGTGTACTTGACTAGTAAGCACTAAGCCCTGAGTTTGACCACAACACCACAAGACAAGACAAAATAAAACTCCAACAAACAAATCTAATACAACTGAATTGAAGTGTCATTTGTTTTCCTGCCTAAGTTAGTTAGCATACTATAGTGAACTCTTACACTGTCATTAGAGGCTACATCTGTACTTAAGAGAAATAAAACTGAGGTAGAGATGTTTCTCATGCACTGTACCCAAGAGAAAGAATGGTGGACAGTAGTGGGAATAGCTAATATACCACTTAATAGACAATAAAGTTGGCTCTTCTGATGGATGACAGGCATAAGTAAGCTCCTCAGACTCTTCCCAAGAGAATTTTGGTTTGGCAAGAATCAGTGCAGAATTCAGGGCGGGCACTGGGTGGTGAGTAATCTGTGCCTTCACCCACATTCACCACTTTAATTCAGGCTGGTCTGCTTAGAGTTTGCCTTCAATTTGGAAGAGATCTCATGGTGTACTTCTAATAACAGTAACTCCTCTAAACAGTAGCATATGCTTATATTTTGCATGTCTGCGATTCTCTAAACATATTCCTTAACTGCTATGACTTTTTAATTGCCTGTTTCGTGAAGCCGATTCCAGCTGGATGATTAGCTACCTATCACTGCCAGTGAGAAAACACAGGTGAAAGTGCTGGGGAAAGCATGGCACCTGATTCAGTGACTCTGCATAGCCACTGCACATGGAAATAACCCAGAAGCTGTAAAATGAACTGATGTCTGGCTTCTACCCCAGACTGAGAGCTAACTGATCTGTATGTGGCCTGAGGGCACATGTTGTTCACAAACTCCCAAACGACTCTCAATGTACAGGTGAGGGTAGAAATCATCTGTGCAGAGGCTCTTCTATTTTTAGCACCTGCTAAAACTGCTGGTCTGGAGGTCAGCCTGTGAGGACAGTGGGTCTTTGTTAGACAGTCATCCAAGATGGTCAAGTCTGATAAAGAGGAGAGGTTTATGCTGGGTCACAGCTTAGGAGGGCCTAGCCTAAGATTGGCTGATTTGGTCCTGTGGTAAAGCAGAACATCATGGTAGGAACATGTGGTAGAGGAAAGCCCCTTACCTCATGGCCAGAAAGCAAAAGAAAATGGAGGAAAACAGGGTCCCGCCATCCCCAATGGGGCATGCTCCCAGTAACCCCTCCCACTAGGCCCAACCTCTTAAAAGTTCCTCCAATATCCTTGATCCTCCCAATAAACACTATGTTTTCTTTGGCAAACATCTCTTCTAAAACTTACAAAGGCAAATAAAGATTTCCTTGGACACTGGGTGCCAGTGGCTCATACCTGTAATCCTAATCAGATCTCAGGAGGCTGAGATCTGAAGATTATGGTTCAAATCCAGCCTGGGCAAGACCATCTATGAAGCTCTTATCTCAATTAACCACCAGAAAACCAGAAGTGGAGCTGTGGCTCAAGGTGGTAGGGTAGTAGCCTTGAGTGAAAAAGCTCAGGGACAGCAGCCAGGCCCTGAGTTCAAGCCCTATGACTGATAAAATTCCTTGGAAATCTCCAACACAATAACCCAGAATTACCAAATATTGGGACAGACCAGTTTTGGTGGGAAGGAGGGAGCTCTTAGAGCGTTTGTAGATTTCTGTGAGGCAATCACTACAACAGTTTGAAAACCAGCTCAAAAACGTCCTTAAAAGACTTAATACTTGGCTCTCCAAACTAGGAGGAACCCAGTGCATCTACCCAGGTGTTCTAAGTTTGGTTTTTGCTTTTTGTTTTGTTTTAGATGGGATTGTCTCAATCACAAGGTCAATGCTTATAATGCCTTGTGCTATATAGTTTGAATGTGCTCCCTGCAAAGTTCATGTGTAGTAAACGTAATCCTCAAAGTCATATAGTAGAGCTGAATCCCTGGAAAGTTATTAGGATTGTAGGAAGTCATGAAGATGAGGCCCCTAGGTGGCATTAGTGGCTTTATGGAGCAAGGAAGAAAGACTTGAGCTACCATACTTGTTCTGTCTCACTATGTGATGCTCTTACCATGTTAGCATGCAGCACCAAGGCCCTTACCAGATGCCAAAGTCCATACTCTTGGGACTTTCCAACTTGCTAAACCCTGAGTTAGACAACCTCTATTGTTTATAAACTACTTGGTCTTAAGTACTTTGTTACAGAAACAGAAAACAGACCAAGAAATGTGCATAATGTGCTCATTTTGTTTCTTGAAAGCCCATGGAGGCCTCAGTGACAGTGTGACTTCTTTTCTATTTGTAATGAAACAAAGGAAAAGGAGGAGAGAGCTGAGCTAAGCTCTTCCTGGTCCTTCTGAGAAGAGCTTTGCTGAGCACAAGTACTTACAAGCAGTGCACGACTGTACGGCCCTCCCCACCGTTGTATTCTTCCTGCCACTTGTCTACTTGGCGAATGAGTTTCAGGAAGGAACGCTTGGAAACTGGTGTGTCCCTGTACATTGGCCAGCCCAGGAACTGGAACTGCTGTACCATCCGATATCCATCTTGAGGCTGTAGAGAGCCAGACAACAATCAGGGAGGAGAGTGAAAACAGGTATTATATTTTCTTTATTGAATTCCAGTGGGCTGATTGCACCTATTTTTTCTTCAGATCAGAGCAGGACATTATTAAAGAACAGTCTGGCCACCAAATAATCAAGGCAGCTTCTATGAGCCTGAAGAGTTACGATTTTTAATCTCGAGTAGCAATAAAAAAAAAAAAAGACCAGGTGTTGTAAATGACAGGCCACAGACAAGCCAAAGTGAAGCAGCATGCTTATATTTTGTAAAAGCCAAGTGAACGATAATATCGAGACTGACCACGTTGTGCATTATGTGGGGAAGTGCCTTTAACTACAGATAAATTAAAGAGTACATATTTTTGAGCTTAGTGTGATATAGGTTATGTGTGTTTCCATGAATATGTTACATTTTCTTATTGACATAAATGTAAGATATTAATGTTTTAATTAATCTTTAGACATAGTTAAATAGAATTTTAGAATTCAAAAAAAACCAGAGTTCCTGCGCTGACATTAGAAAAATGACAACTACTTGGACTAGCCTTCAGCAGCGCTCAGTGCAGGCGATTGCTCTCAACACTTTCCCTGGGCCTGTTCCTTCTCCTCAGCTGGCTCTCCTCTGTTGCAGCCTCCTTTCTCTGAGAAGCCTCTGGCCTCAGTCCTAGGATCCCTTTTTCTTCTCTCTCTCTCGATTTCATTTTAGTCTCAGGATTTTCTGCATAACCAATAATCATTAAGTTTTTTATTTTTTAATATATATATTGATTGTAAAGATACTGTACAGAGGGGTTACAGTTACATGAGCAAGGAGCAAGGTAATGAGTCCATTTCTTATCGAGCATTGTTACCTCCTCCTGTGTTTTATCTCCAGTGAAGATGTTTCCTGTCACCCTTACAGACTCAAGACCAATCTGACATTCCCACTTAGGGCTCAAAGAATCATCTTTAACTTCCTATATGTAAAACTAACCTTCTGATCCATTCTTCACTTGTGCCCCCATTTTTGTGATACCTGCCTTTTGCAGTTCAGTTAATGCCATTTCCATCATTTCGGTTCTTCTAATAAAAATCTTGGGTTACTCTGACTCACTGGGTCGGGCTGTTCCACCTTGGAACATAAATCTCGCTACTACCTATTACCTTCTGGGTGATAAGCACTCCTGTTTTAACACTGTCACTTGTCAGCTATCCAGGTGTGTGTTAGATGAGTTTCTCTTACAGTTTGTTCAATGCAGGAGCTAGAAACTTCCTTCAAAAATGTCAGTGTGGTTTGTCTACTAACAACCCTGTAATGGTTTCCAGTTCTTTCCAAGCAAACCCCTCAATAGAGCAGTTACCTGTGAAGCCCAGCAGGATCCCTGCCTCCCACAAGGAACTTCTCTGGCCTTTGCCTACTGGACTCAGGCCAGCATCCCAAAGTACCTACAACTCCCCAGGAATAGGCAGGGCTCTAGCCTTTGCAGTTATCCAGACAGCGCATGGCCACACCCTCCATCTCCCAGCTTTGCTCTCATGGTACATCTATTCAAAATGGGGACTGGTTTCTTTCCTGACCATTGTCCTCATGTGTTCTCCTTTTCCTATAAATGGACTACCTTCTAACGACCATATTACAGCTATTATTTATTGCCTGTCCTTTTTTTGTGTGCTGGTCCTGGGGCTTGAACTCAGGGCCTGGACACTGTCCCTGAGCTTTTGTGCTCAAGTCTAGTGCTCTACCACTTGAGCCACAGCTCCACTTTCAGCTTTTCTGATGTTTAATTGGGGATAAGAGTCTTATGGTCTTTCCTGCCTGGGCTGGCTTTGAACTACCGAGTCTCAAAGATGCTCAGTTCTTAGCTAGGATTATAGGCATGAGCCAGTGGCACTCAGCTATCATCTGCCTTTTGGCAAGCTTCTCTGCTTAATCAAACTTTCATTGGGCTCCTGGGCCTTCTCTTAGGCCCCCTGCACATTTAAGAAGCTTAATTTTAGCAATCCCTGCTAAATCAACTTAGAACTTCCCTTACCTAAATATCTCCATATCTGATCAGATTCCTCAGCTTTTATAATGCCCACCTGATATCTGATCCCCCTGGCCTGTCTTCAGCAAGGATCTCCCTTATCTCTGATATTTCCCTTCACTTTCTCTTGGCTCTCCATCCCAATTTGCCCATGCTGTATTCAGAGATGCACCCGAAGCTCTCTCACCCACTGCAAGACCCTGTAGCAGTGGTTCCTGCTCTGTCATGGTGCTGAGTAAAGTCTTCCTTTCAGTTATGGAGTAACAAGTACTATCGAATATTGTCTGCTTTAACATGGCTTCTGTTAGACTTGACTTTTGTTAGAACATAAGTTCCCTAAGATTTTGTTCCCGGAGGCATACAAATTTCTGGAGCAGTGAATGACAAAGAGTGACTAGCTCAAGTTCAATGACTGAGAAAACAATGAAGCAAGCAATACTGGCTCCAGCACTTACTCGGGCAGCATTATAAATCCGGAATATTCTGCTGATGATGTCTTCTTCTAAGTCTGCAGACACAAATTCCACCTGGATGGGCCCATGCCTGTGGACTCCATTTTCAGGCCAGTATTGTGGACACAACTGAAATGAAGACATAGAAACAAACACATGTTCAATTATCAAAATTAATATACTCAATAGTTTGGATAAGGTCACTGTCAGCATTCAGCAATTCTTAAGACCTCATGAAATCCTTTACTTCCTGTAAAGGATTTTTCTGTTTTGCAGCAAGCAAGAGTTAGGCCTTTTGTGAAGATGGATTCCTTTACTACTACCGTCCTTTTAGGCTCTTCTTCATTTTCACAGGAAACATCTGCTAGCCATAAACAATTCTGCATTCTCAGAAGGTCATGTGGATTTTACCAAAACAGTCCTGAGTGAGATGCCATCAGGTGCCACAATAAAAGTTACGGCCATACAGCCCTGCTAATGTCCAACCTCCATCCTGTGCTTCCTGGCTGATCTTGGGGATGGAGATGTTCTGGGACAACCAGTAACAGTGCTGGGGTTGCTCTTTCAGATTCTACTTCTACTCCTCCCAGCTCAGATCTAGGAAACTAGTTGTCAAAAGAAAAGTCTTCACCATTTTACCTAGGGGTGGCCTGATTAAAAACACATTTTTTTTTTGCTGGGCATACTGGCACACACTGTAATTCCAGCATTCAGGAAGCCAAGGCAGGAGGCTTTCTGAATTCTAGTCAATGAAACATAGTGAGTCCAAAGTCAGCCTGAGCTACATAGTGAGACCTTGCCTCAGAAAACCCAAACTAAACAAAACCTCCTCCTAATTTCTTAGAGCATCAAAGTCCAATATTGGTGCTACCAAGGGACTAGAACTTTTGCGCACACATAATGCAGACATCAGTGGGCCAGAGAAGTTTTGAGCATGGTGGTTGAGGAACTGTCATTTGTCATCATCCTACAAACTTCCTAACCCTGGAGCCAGTCAGATGGGAAGAGTAATATCCTTTCTCTTCAAAAATGTTCCTTCGATCTCTAAAGCCTCAATAGGCATTTAAAGTTTGAAAACAAACTTCTTTTGGGGCTTGGTATTCTAGAGGCCTGTTTTGGAGTGGTATGTTTTAACTTTTATCTTTCGGATTCACCTGAGGAACAGATGACTTGTGGCAAGGCAAGAGGAGAGCCACTCTGTGATTTCCTAACTTGTTGTATGGGGCGAGAAAAGATAAAAAGCCTAACATCTCATTTTAAGCAAGATGATTGAATACTAAAGGTAAATCTACTGGTTTAATTTCCATTAACTTTTTTTGTGTGCTGGTACTGGGGCTTGGCCTTGGAGCTTGAGCACTTTCCCTTAGCTTTTATAGCCACGGCTGGTGCTCTACCACTTGAACATGCCTACAATTCTGACTTTTTGCTGGTTAACTGGAAAAAAGTGTGTGTAGTTTTGTCTGCCTGGACTGGATTCAAATCTTTAATCTTAGATCCCAGCCTCTGGAGTCATCAGACAGGAATGAGCCACTGGTGCCTGACCTTCATAAAAAACAAAACAAAACAAAACAAACCACCCAACTCTTTTTCTGTCAGATTGGGGCTTGAACTCAGGGTTTGGGCACTGCCCCTGAGTTTCTTTTGCTCAAGGCTAGTATCCTAGCATTTGAGAAACAGCTCCATTTGTGGCTTTTTTTGGTAATTAATTGATTGGTGATAATAGTCTCACGGACCTTCCTGCCTGGGCTAGCATCAAACCATGATCCTCAGATCTTAGCCTCCTGAGTAGCTAGGATTATAGGTCTTGGCCACTGGCGTCCAACCATGTAATTTTTTTTGATCCATTTAGTTAAATATTGCAAAGATTGATTTATATCCAAAATTGCAAGAGATGTTCTCGGCTAACTTAATTAACTTAAACAGCTACCTTTCTTTCTTTCTTTTCATGATAAAGAAGCTAAAGATTAAGCTGGGCATAAGTGGTTTGTACCTGTAATTCTAGCTACTCAGGAGGCAAAGATCTGAAGATCACAATTTGAAGACAAGCCCAGGCAGCAAAGTCTCTTTTATTTTATTTTATGGTAAAGGTGATTTACAGAGGGGTTACAGTTATATGATTCAGTTAATGAGTATATTTCAATTTGAATAGTGTCACTCCTTCCCTCATTCTTTCCCAGTTTTTCCCCTCCCAACTTTCCTCTCCCCCCAAAGTATAAAGTTCATTTCCAGCACAGTGTCTAGTAAGTATCATGGTTGAACTGGCTCACCCTTTGTCCCACCACTTCTGTGCTTCCTCTTCCCCTCCCCAGCTCAGATAAACTTATATACAAGACAAAGGGTACAGAACTCAAAAACAGAGACAGGAGGGAATAAACGAAAGAAAAAAAAGGAAAGAAGAGAAAAAAAAAGAACCACAAACAATATGATAAAAAAATTTCCATCTCTTGGAATTCATTTCGATAAGCACAATTTTATATAGCTTTTAAGCCCCTGTGATCCCTTCCTAAGAATAGCCTCCTTATTCTCACTATGTGAGTGTTTAGTTTGTTTATTAATCATGTCCAGGTGTAGTTATTTGTCCTTTACTCTCCATCTTAATTATTACAAATGAGGGAAATAATGCAACCTATGTTTCTTTGGATTTGGCTTTCTTTTATTTAGTATACTTTTTTCCAAATCTTTCCATTTCCTTATGAATGGGAAAGTGTTAACAAATGCTGGTGAGGATGTGTCCAAAAGGGAACACTACTTCATGATGGGAATGTAAACTTGTTCAACCACTTTGGAAAGCAGTATGGAGATTCCTCAAAATACTAAACATAGAACTTCCCTGTGATCCAGCAATCCCACTTCTGGACATATATCCAACTGACCACAAACTGGGCTACACTAAAGCCACCAGCACGACCATATTCATTGCAGCATTGTTTACCATAGCCAAGATATGGAATCAACCCAGATGCCCTCTCAGTGGATGAATGGGTCAAAAAATGTGGAATACATACACAATGGAATTCTATGCTTCCAGCAGGAAAGTCTTTGAGACTCTTTTCTCCAATTAACCACCAAAAAAGCTGGTAGTGGAGCTGTGGCTCAAATTTAACACATTAGCAAAAAAAACTAAGAGCACTCAAGCCCTGAGTTCAAGTCCTAGCATTACCACATACACAAAACAGCTAAATGTTGGACTTTTAAGAATACAAGTAGGATATTTTTTATGTTAGCTACATGGATTGTATTTTAGAAGCCACATTTATTTAAAATAATGCTTCCATGAAAATTTTCCTTCCTCACTAGTACTTCCTGGTGACAAGTTATTAAACTTGCCTTGCCAAACAATAGCATACTGATTCTTATTTTCTTTTTGATACTAAGGGGCACCCACTGTTAAAATTAATAAGCATGATGATGGGAAGCCAAGACAGTAATAAAAGCTGTAACATGCCCATTTGAACTGTTCTGTCTATTTTCCTACTGACTGAGCCAGCTTTGCTTTCTGCTGCTTCTCTCAGTTCAAGTGCCTGATCAAAAGCTTGTCATTTATACCAAGGAAATATCAATGGCCCGGGCTGGCGCCTGGCTCTTGGCACATGGCATCCTACACTCTGCCCAAGGAAACCATGTAGAAAATGGCTTAAATGGTGCATAACACATCCATGCACCAAGCCTATAAATACTTAAAAATAGTTGAGTGCTGCTCTTGTACAGTTGCAAAGCTCTAAGTTCAAATGCTTAGTTTAGTGTTCACTAAAAGACTAAGTCCCGAGAGCCTCTTTTCTCTCACTCTGAAAACCTGCTCTGTCTACTGAATAAAACGGGGAGTCTTTTTGTGTTTCTGCCATCAGTCAGCCAAAACACGGTTGGAGAACAGACAGTTTGGGTTTAGAATGAAGCTTCACTAACAACATGCTAGCATCTCTAATGTCCTGTTCACTAACATGAACAAAAGCAGTATAGGTCACCATGTTGCAGGATTCCCATCAGGGAAAAAAATATCAGGATGGTTCTCATTCCATGACCAAAAAAATCTAGAATCAATGAAACTTAACCTGTGGTACTATGAATTAAATCTTTCAGAAAGCCAGATTCCTGGCTTCTATTTTGAACCGTGTGTGTTGTAAAGGCTGTGGTCTACCCTCTGCGGCCTCGGCAGGGAAGAGTTCTAAAATATTTAAGCTTCTTAAGCCAAAAAGACTATAATAAGGGTAGTTATCATTATTATTTCATTAACTTGATCTCAAGAGAGACTTAACAATATAATGCAATGCCTTAAACAGTTAAAAACACATAAACCTCCGTGTCCATGTCCTGCCTCTTTCCATTTCAGTTCTTGTGATCTATGTCAATAAAGTTTGCCATGATTTAAAAATAAAAAGTCAAAGTATTTTAGCATCTACACTGGACAAGATGTCTTCTTCCTATAATCTCCTACAACGTATTTTCTTCCCATCAATTTTTTTTTTAAATTGGAAATTGTCTCTACTACTTAGGAAATTAACTCAGCTTCAGAGCAAATTTACTGTCTCTCTCTCTTTTTTTTTCTTTTTGGTGCTGGTCTTGGGGCTTGAACTCAGGTCCTAGATATTGTCCCTGATCTTTTTTTTTTGCTGAAAGCTAGTATTATTTTTGGTGGTTAATTGGAGATGAGTCTCATGGACTTTCCTGCCTGGACTGGCTTCAAACCTTGCTCCTCAGATTGCAGCCTCCTGAGTATACAGGTATGAGTCATTGGCACCTGGTTTAGCAAGGTTATTCTTTTTTTTTTAAGTTTTTTTTTTAATTGTAAAAATACTGTACAGAGGGGTTACAGCTACATGAGCAAGGTAATGAGTACATTTCCTATCAAGCATTGTTGCCTCTTCCTTTGTTTTCTCTTACCATCCCTTCCCTCCCACCTCCACAGTATTCTTAAAATATGCTAACTCTGACCTCTCTTATACCCTCGTCATGGTAATAAAGTTTGTGATTGGGATAAATTCGGTTCCTATGAGGCTTTGGTGCCAACACCCTTCTGACAGGCCCATCTAAGCCCCACTTTTAATGGTGAATTATCCTATTCAATTCTCTTTTTCTGCTTAAGAGAAACCCCATTTGTCATTCTGAACTTCTTTTATTTACAAGTCCTAGTTTTGTTTTTTTCTAATATCTTTACTCAAGAGTTGACAAAACAAATGGGGCAATGTCATTCTTTCTGATGTAGGCATAGAATTCCATGTGTATATATACCACATTTTGGGCCCAAAGAAACATAGGTTCCATGATTTCCCTTATTTGCAATAGCTAGTATATGTCTGAGGCAAGCAGAAAAGGTCAGATAAGTTGATGTTAGGGAAATGAACCCTAAGATATGTATTCAAATGTTTTTTCTTTCATGCGATTGTTTCTAACACATTTATAAGATTATTTATTTGTTGCTTTGTATGTCTCTCCCCCATGGTATAACTCCTGCTTTCACTATTTGATGTTGGTATAATTTGTGGAGGGGAAGGGAAAAAACAAATCGTTTAACTAGGGATACAGGTGGACCCATTGCAACAATGAGATGTACAAGTTGTTATGTTGAAAACAAACTTTATAATTTTGGTGGGGGGGTGGGGAGAGGATGGGAAGGGATGGGAAGGGGAAACAAAGGAGGAGGCTACAATGCTTGATAAGAAATGTACTCATTATCTTGCCCATGTAATTGTAACCCTTCTGTGCGGTATTTTCACACAAAAAAAAGAGTTGACAAAACTAATTGACATTCCTTAAACTTTCTTGCTTATTTCCACTGACCCCCTATTTTGAGACTCCCCACCTGTAAGCTCTCAGTGAACAGTGTTAGGAAGCATGTAAGTCCCTCCACTCAGGTGGGAACAGAAGTGTGTCCTATCTCTACTGTCTTTCAGTTTGCTTGCTCTGCCAGATGCTTGAGTTCTTGTCAGCTTTGGCTCTGCTATATTCCTTTTCTTTTGGGATAACCTACTTTCTGACATTGTCTTGCTTTGTTACTTCCTCTATGTCTTTTGGGTTTCTACTGACTTTCTCCTCCAGTCCTTCGTAGTGCCTGATTGTTTGTCTGTTAGTACTGGGACTTCAACTCAGGGCCTCACACTCTCAGCTTGTTTGCTCATGGCTTGACACACTACCATTTGAGTGATATCTCTAGCTTGTCCTCTTGGTGGTTAATTGGACATTGAATCCCACAGGCTTTACTGCTCTGTCTGCCTTGGAACTGAGATCTCTTGATCTCAGTCTCATAAATAGCTAGGTTCACAGGTGTGAGCCACTGGTGTCTGATTTTGAATACAAGTGTTTCAGTATCCTCAGTTCTCAATTATCAACTGGCATGTCAACTCTGGCATGGCAGTCCGCAAATGTTAATGTGCAGAACACACATGGATGACCCCTGTTACAATAACCCCTGGGACTCACCTGGGCAGGATCCACATCATTGAGCATAACTACCGAAGTGCAGTGATAGTCCAAGACCAGTCTCCAGAAATCTTTGACTGTGTTTGGCAAAGGATGCTGGGTGACGATAAAAGCTGAAGGCTGTTTATAGCTCTGCAAATATAAATAAGAAAGATCCAAATATACTAAGGAAAATGTGAAGAGAGGAAGCTATTTTATGCACGTGAAAATGGATGGCACAAAAACGCTGAACATATTTATCGATTGTTGAAGTCTGTCAGTATTTTCAACTTCAGAATAGCCTCAATATAATGTTGAAATATTCTCATTTTAACACCAAGAAAACATCAAATACTTCTTACCAAATATTTATGTTTCTGATAGAAAGCCAATACTGGCTTTACTCATTAACTATTTTATTGTTTATTAAATATGTTCATATTTAATGTTATTTAAGTTTACTTTAAAAGTTATGCATAATGAAAACAGTTCAACTTTTCCTAAAACAGGTTTGGTTGTCATTTGTATGTATGATGTTGCTAGTTATTCCTGCCAATAGAGGAAACACACATGATATACACGCCTTCTGGAAAGCACTAGCAAATTTATCGTGATATATCACATCAACAGAATGACAATTTCCACATTAGCACTGAAAATAGCCATTTACTTTCCCATCCATTCAATAGCCAAAAGTAAACAGACTGACAGGAAGTAATGAGTTGTGCTTTCTTTCCATGTTAATTACTGCTTAAATTAGGAGAACAGGGATTGAAAATAATGCAGCCAGTCCCTTTCCAGGCCATGGTCCTGACCACTGAACAGCTGCTGCTTTGATCTCAGCCAGAAGGTTAATCTGTGTTCAGAGTCACTACAACGTGTGCACTTCTGGGTGGCCTCTGAGAGATCACAAGACATGCATGGCTCTGAAGTTTTATTTTGTTGGAAACTGGTCTGTGCCTTTGAAGGGGTGAGGTCTGCACATGCATGACTTTTTCCCCAGGCAGAGAGAGGACTTACGTCCATGAGGGCAGCATTGATGTAGTTGCTGCTCTCGCCATCGATGGTGATGAGGAAGGGCAGGCAGCGGTCTGGGGGCAGGATGTCCATGCACCGGTTTTTCTCATGATTCCGTGGTAGGAGTGCAATGCTGCAGTCCTCCACACGCAGTGTTGGTGTCACCATGTTCAAGGTCTAAGAGACAAAAGGAAGGTACAGGATTTAGGTTCAGCCAGGTTAAGACAGATGACAGACTTCATCCTTGCGATGACTTGGTCGATAGCATGAATAAGCCCATGGAAATGACACATTTATCCCACAAATATGTACAGTTATGATGTGTCTCATAAAGGAAGAATATACTATCGTGGGTTAAATAAACAACATTATTGTGTTTAAAAAGCACAGAGGACAAGTGGAGCTTCACAGTACATTTGTCTCTTGTCCAGCATATAAAAGATTCACATCTGCAGCTGACTGCAAGATGGGCCACCCTATCCCCACCTCAGTACCACCCCACTTAGACTTTTTTCCCTCTCTTTAGATTTTGTGTACCAAAAGTACTTATGAAACACAAGGACCAGAGGCAGATCCATAAAAGGTGTGACGACACTGTAGGATGACTGGACACCTAAGGATTGGGAGGGCAGATGCTGGGAGAGGGTCTAGCCCATTGAGGTAAAACCTGAATATGGGTTTTATATCTGCAGGAAGATCTATGGATGCCCACCAACTATTCCTGACACATGCATTTCCATTACTTTACTGCACCCATGGTTAGTTACACTCTGAACATAGGCTCCTGTGCGGAGGCCTATTTGGTATTCACTTAGAATGTAAATGGCCCATTAGACCAATGTTTTGTAACCAGGTAATTTTATCCCCTGTGCCCCAGGGAACATGGTGGTGTTTGCACAAGTGTTTGGCATGGCACTGGTGACATAGACATCTTAAGCCCAGTGATAGTGCTAAATATCCTACAGGACAATTCCACAGCAAAGTTACAACGTGGCCCCAAAGGCCAGGGGTGCTGAGGTTGGGGAACCTTGTGTTGATTGAAAGGTTCCAAATTGGCTTTGAGATACTTTCTAAGACACAAAGTCACAGCCAACTGCTTCCCCCTTTAGTCTGTCTTACCCTAAATTCCTCTTTAATCTGGCTTGAGTTTGTCTGTGGGTCCAGTTTGTTCATGTCATAGTACAGAGATCTAACTTGGGAAGCAGGGATGGAGGTGTCTCCGCAAAGACAGGCTTCCAGGATTGCATCATGGATAAACACATACTGCTCCTGGAGAAACAGAGGGTACTGGTCAGTGATGGGGAAACCAAGGTAGCCCCAGAAAGTGAGAGTGAGAGAAGACAGTAATGATTTTAGCCCCACACCATCAAGATAATGGAAACCGTGTTTTCAACAGAGAGAGAGACAGACAGACAGAGAGACAGAGACAGAGACAGAAAGAGATACTGAGAGACAGAAAGAGAGGGACAGAGAGAGAGACAGAGGCAGAGAGAGACAGAGAGACAGAGAGAGACAGAGAGAGGGACAGAGACAGAGAGACACACAGAGTGAGACAGAGAGAGACAGAGAGAGAGAGAGAGACAGATAGACAGCAGACAGACAGACAGACTGACTTTGTGGTCCTGCCTAGATGCCAGGAGCATGGGTTTTTCAGTGGTAGTAATCCTCTCACATGGCACAGCTGGTATGCTACCTGACTGATATACTATGGAATCATGGGGAATTATACAAAGCCACAGATATTTATATAACTCAGAGCAGGCACAATATCATTGTGATCATGTTGACTAAAACCTCTAAAATTCTGATGCCATGAATTGGAACTTCATTGTTCAGATGAGGAATGAGCAGAATTTTTGTAATTTGAAAAGAGAACTTGCTACTTAAATTAACAGTCTAAACGAAGAGAAAAGCTTGACATTGCGCTGAGGACAAGCAGTTCTGAATACTGGGAACCAATTATTTAAAATATCAACTAAGGCCAAAGTAGTAAAAGCTCTTATAAGTTCAGAGTAGAGTATAGCTGCTTTACATGCATACATTCAGTGTATAGTTTAAAAAATGGGTACTCCATAGCTGCTGGTGTAGCTCATTGGCAAAGCACTTGTCTTACAAGTGTGAAGTCCTGGGTTTGATTCCCCTATACTGCAAAAGAAATAAAAAGCAAATATGCATAAAAATGAGTCATTTAATTTTGACTAGACTAGACAGAGACGTTTCTTATAACCAATTAGTAAATTTTCCATTATTTATTATTATTTTGAACTCCGTGCTTATTACTTGCTAGGCAGGTGTTCTGCTATTTGTGTCAACCCACCAGCCTGTTTTTGGTGTTAGTTTTTTTTTATTATTATCTTTAAAAGAAAGTATCTCTACCCTAAAGAGAACACAAAGCAGCATTTACAATTTCTATTATTTTTATGCTGGCTAAAAGAATGGATTAGATTTCCCAGTGGTGTTCACAGCTTTTATGCACAATCTCAACATAAGGATTCGTATTTATTATTCTTTGTTCTCCTTTATGGATCCTTTTCAAGGTACTAGATTGTAAGGTCTACTTACAGGGATCAAATATTAATAAAAAGATGAAATTCTTAGTACCAGATGTAAAACTTCTCAAAAATTTAAATTCTGGAATCACTTTGAATTTCAATTTACCAAAGACTTCTACAAAATGGGCAAATTCCCATGATGTTAGGCCACTGGGCAGAATGTTTAGGGACAGGAAAATAATGAGTTCTTCCTAGTACCCTGGAGAAGAATAAAATGTACAGAGACTACTCTAAAGCCACTTGATAGAAGCCTAGTTATTCTCGAGTGGTCTTGCTCTGGTTCCCAGCTAGTTTAAAAGGTAGAATAATAAAAATTTAAAAAAAGGTACTGAAACCTTGAATGCTTAATGTAGAGACTCTACTGGGTCCCTTGACACAGAAAAATGTGAGAATTAGCTCCTGGCTAAAGATTCTGTCACCTGGAAAACTCCTTTTTTGTTTATGAAAGGAACAAGAACACAACAGAAAGGAGGGGCAAGAAGGAAACAGAATTGCCAGGCACACCACTTTTTCTCCTAGGTCATTTAGAAGAAACAGTTGGCAGGCTTTGTTTTGCCTGTGACCTTAGGAGGTGGGAATGCAGGAGAGATACTGGAGACCAGGCCATGGGATGGAGGGTGGACTGTGATACCTCTGTCTGCACCATGTTCACTCTCCGTGACCGCAGCTCCCGCACACAGTTATAGATGTCCACCACCCCTTCCCTTTCAGCCATGTCCAACATGATATCAATGACAATGAAGCAGCCAGTCCTTCCTGCACCAGCACTGCAGGAAAAGAGGGTCTATCAGTAGAGAAAAACGACTGTACTTCTTAAAATCTAAATTAATGAACCATTAGAAGTATACAATTCAGGCATTAGACACATTCACCTCTATCCAGTTCCAAACATTTTCATCACCCTCTATAAGCTCCCGAACCCATCTCTGCTTAAGAGGCAATGGGAGTTTAACTTACCTGCAGTGGACTACCAATGGGCCTGCATTGGGTGGACTCTTGGATTTGACCTGCCGGACAAATCCCAATAGGCCAGTGGCATGGTAGGGAACCCCATGATCCGGCCAGCCAGTGAAGTGAAATTGTCTGATCTCTCGGATTTCATGAACACCTCTCTGCAATCCATGGTAGGACAGCCACGATGCAGAAGAGAACAAAGGAAAATAAATGATAAGCAAGAGCAACCAGCATCCTAACACATCCCTCAGGAGTTAAGTCTAGGGCTTCGGAGAGCCTTGAATTTCTGGCGAAGAAGGTCACTCATAGATTTAACAAACAATCTGGAAGGCTTTGGACACTTTAGAAAGATGGTTGTAGATGTGAAAGGGGGGGGGTCATGTTTGGGGAACATGCTAATTTACATGCACATTTCCATATGTGGATGCTGTCATTAGTTCTTCAAAATTCCTGTCTATAAAATCTTTTCAACATCAGCTCCTGGAATGCAGGACTTGGTCCTGGATCTTCTGTATCCTACTATTCTTTGTATCAAGTACTCCAGGGCATATACACTGTACAACCAGAGAACTGCTTTCTAACAGTATATGTCAGAGAACTCATTTTCACCACAGTTGAAATGCAGGCCCCTTCCCCTGCCTCGTACCTCGTTATACCAAGTACTCCAGGGCATACACACTGTGCAAGCAAAGGAATACTTTCCAACCAGATCTGTCAGGGAACTAATTTCCATTGCAACCCAGTTTGTTGTGTGGCTTTTAAATGGTTTGACACTTAATTCATCCATCCCACTCACTAAAAATTTTGTAACCCTACTACTTTAGATACTAAACCTTTAGAGATATGGAGATATCATCTCCTGTCTTTAAGTTGCTTTCCCTGTGGGAAGCAGACATGCCAGCAAATGCCTATCATGGGAATTGAGGGGTGTTTTGCTGGAATTTCTCTTAGACTAGTAAACTGAAGAAGCAGAGGTGTAGCTGTAGGCCACTGAACTGAAGGGAGGAGAAAGAAATGAGACTTTGTGCTTGTTTTGCTTTGTAATTTGCTCTTATTTTAAAAGTAAGTTGATTCATACCCATTAGCTTTGTTTTCTAACCACAAACCTTTAGGACTCTTTTAAGAAAAAAATCTGTTTTGAAAACAAAAATAACCAAGGTCACATAACATCTGGGATCAAATTTGACTTGTTCTGTCTTCTCATTGGATAAGCATTGACTGAATATTGCCTCTGCTCAGGTCTTGACTTTGATTTTATTTCATCTTAAAGGTAAACACACTTTAACACTATCGTATTTTCTATCCATCATTCATACATATTTGGCAAACAAAGAATAAATTCAGAATTTTCACATGCTTGGAAAGATATGACAAAGCAAACAAGTATCGATTTTAAGATAAGACTTGTTTGCTATCATTGTGTTACAATGACTCAGTAAGAAAATAATCCACAAAAATGTCTGATTTGTTTTCTTTTGTTTTACTATGAAATGCTATTCTTTAAAAAAGTTTAAGCAGTAAGGAACTCAAATGGTCAGAAAATCATAATACAAATAAACAGTGTTGTCTATTTCACTGACCCAGACCAGAGTACTAGATACTTAAAAACCAAAAATTCCTACTGCTGAAAAAAGGTTAACTTTTGGCAGCCTCAGAATCTCCAATGGAAGTCATACAGTTGAACCCCTGTTACTCAATTCCTAACAATGGGTTTGGATAAACAAGAACTAGGGAAGTGTTGGCAATAAATATTGACTTATTGCAAATAAGAAAACAAGCAGTTCATTCTTTATTAGATTCAGCTGTAGCATCACTAAACCCAAGCTCTGTCCATTGTGAGAGGGGCTCCCAACAATATCTTTAAGACTCATTTTCAGAGTAGGTAAATGTCAGTTTCTACAGTGCAGAAAACCCATAAATCTCCACCTTTTAATATGTTCATTACTGACTAGATTAGCAAAGGAAATTGCTTCTCATCTAACCTTCATTCTTATTCATGGGCACAGCAGCTTCTCCTTTCTCTGTTTTGTAAGAGGTTGGGGATGAAAGCCATAGATGCAACCAGCAATCACAGCCCCAATAGTTCTCAACTGGAAATGTAATGTTAATTATATTTTTCTTTAGGTTTCATTATAACAGCACTAATACTATATAAAAAATAGCCATTTAATTTTTCCATGTAATATAATGGGAAAAGAAAACCGATGTTCTATAGCACTTATCCCAAAGTGGGTGACCTAATCACTAAGTGCAAGCTCTGTCTCTGACACAGGATCATATTCCACTGCCTTCTCAGAGAAACAGGCTCCTCCAAACAGGCTTCTAAGAGTAACAGGTAGGAGATTTTGGTAGCAATTGCCAGGACAGGCAGGGAGATGGTATTTACAGCCTACGTCTACAAGGATGTTATGGACATTCTTTTAACATGGATATTCTATGATTCTAAAACAATCACACTTGTGGGTAAGGAAAGACAACTATCAGATGCAAAAGAGGAATTCATCTGTTTCAAATTGCAACTGTCTGTTCATTTTGCAGAAGAGAGTCCAAATCCATTTTTCACCTTTAGGTTTCTGTTGCAATATGCACTTGGAATCAGAATTGCAGGAATCTTAAGGAAACACCTAATTACTTTTTTCTTTGTGTTGGTACTGGGGCTTAGCTTTTTCATTCAAGGTTCATGTTCTACCACTTGAACCACAGATCTACTTCTGGCTTTTTGGTTGTTAATTGAAGATTGGAGTCTCATGGACTCTTCTGCCCAGGCTGGCTCTGAACCACAATCCTAAAATCTCAGTCTCCTGAGTAGCTAAGATTTCAGGCATGAACCACTAGCTCCTGGCTAGTGGTTTTAATGAGAAAGTTTCAAGTCTACATTCGATGCATTGTTTTCCTCCAAGATTCTAACTGCTCAGTTAGAAAATCACTAACATGTCATTTTGATTCCCCTGGTGCATTCAAAGGCTTCTCCTCCTTCTCTTCCTTGTACCACTTCCTTACTGCTTGTCTGATGTCTAAAATAACTGGGTGTTTCAGAAGCAGTGCTGTGCAGCTAAGCACAATAAGAGGTTAAAAAAAGAGTAAAGAAACAAGCCCTTTCTTGAGAAACACAGATGCATTTTTCAGCTTTTTAGAGAGCCAACTATTGTTCAAAGAACTCAGGGTTTAAGTGATGGCTTAAGAAAAAAAATAGTGAGGGTCTTTTATCACTGTTTTAATGCAGTTATTCATGAGTGTTCTTGCCAAGAGCCATACAAAAATCGGCCACAAAATTTTCCCCCAAATCCTGCCTAAGAAAGAAAAAAAAAATCGACATCAAAGTGTGAGATTCAGAACTTGAAGAATGAGTCAACCAGAACTTCACATTCTTTGAAGTCTCCAAGCCTCCTGCCTGCTTATTTAAAAAGACAGGCTGAAAAAAAGTTAAATAGTAAGAGAAACAGATTAAAAGAACTAAAGTCTTTTCAGCCTTGCCATACTATGACAAATTTGGATTTGCAAATCAAGAATGATAGTTCAAATCATCAGCATCAATTAGCCAATAAGCAGATGCTACAATTTCCTTCATTTCCTAAACACAATATGGTTTTCTTAATCCAAAAAGTACACTTAGACACAATGAGAATATAGAACAAAGAGGAGGTCAGGAGCCAACTGGCCAGCAGCCTGCTTATCATCCAGGACCCCCAAGGAGAGCCACTACCATTCAAGAGTGTAAGCAGAACAAGTTCATGACAAAATTGCTAAGTCCATTCAAGGCTCAGTTCTGAAGAATCAGCTCTCCATGGAAAAGCTGGTGTGGGCGTTTGGAAGGCAGAGAGTTCTTTCAGCCGCCTCACCTCCACCTTCCCCACAGCCTACCTGTGGCACTTCTCTGGATGGACTGCAGTTTGCTTCACCTCCGGCCCCTCCCTATGTCAGCAGAAAGAGAGGGAATAAGGAAATTCCCTGTTATGCCCTACAATGCTTCCCAGAGAAGATGCCCCATCCATGCATATGGGATGAGGCAGGGTAGAACTAAAGCTCAGCATTCACTGACCCAACACTAACAACTCCAAAAAGATACAGTAGGATGGGTGTGAGTATGAATGAAGGAGTTGGCTCATGCAACAGTATCTGGTGTTTGATGGAGACTGGTCACTTGGGTTTCCAGGTAGATCTACTTTTGTCTAGATACCGCTTCAATCCATATTGACCTGCAGGCCTAAAAAGCTTCAGGGATTCCAGGAGGAGTTGGGACCTGTGTCTGAGCACTGATCCATACTCCTACTGGGAACCTTAGGTAGATATTCAAGGTAGAAGAAATTTATCAAACAGGGATGGCATTTATCAAAGTTTAACCAAATTTATTCTGTGAACAGAGAGATGGGCAAAATACTATCAACCAGGATCAGAATAATGTAGACACTGCCTTGTGTTCAGTTGCAAAACATAAAGATAGTTATGAAATGGTAATGATTTACTTTAAAGATGGAACTGAGCTACATTATAGACTCAGAAGGCAAGATGTAGCTTTGAGACAGTAACAGAGCCTATCTGCATTGAGGTACCAGCAGGGATAGATTACCCAAGTGAGTTTATGAAGTGACAATAGGATCACTGCAGCTTTTATACTTACCTTCTCAACCGCAAATGTTCTTATCACATATTCTGCCAGTAGTTCTGTTTCTATTAGAGTAACTTTAATGTCTTTATATATCTCTGTATCATCTGGCCAGTATTTACAGCATTTGACCTTCAGAAAACACAAAGGAAATGATGGGTTTAGAGCATGGTCTCTTTTCTTGTTTCTGCATCATGTTTTCCTTGCCCTCCCCCCACCTTTCCAAAAGCAAGCTAAATTTGAATCATGGAAGGAGTACGGCTTAGGAACATGGTCTAAAGTTAACAAACTGTATTCATAACTTTAGATATCCTAGTTAAAGTATTGGTTCATCTCCCATGCATCTCTAGTTGGAGAATATTCTGGAAATATAAACCATAAAAGGAAGTTTTCATTCTTCAGTTATTTTGAATCTTAAATTTCTTCTAGTTTCACAAAGTGATTGAAAATTGTTGAGCAGAAAACCGTCATCAAGGCTACAGATCAAAGACACTCTTTCGGAAGAGGGAGGTAGCTAAGTGTGTTTCCTAAGTTAGAAAAACAGGTTCATTTTAAAACAAGCAAATTCAATAGACAAAAATTGAAAAGAAATGAACATACTCTTTTAACATTATCTGATACCTCTGAAATGTTTAAGTAGAAGGCATTTGTTAGACTTGGCCCATCCCATAATTTCTTTCTTTTTTTTTTTTCTTGGTTGGTGGTGGGCCTTGAACTCTGGGCTTGGGTGCTGTCCCAGCTCAAAGCTAGCATTCTATCACTTGAGCCATAATGCCACTTGTGGTTTTTGAGTGGTTATTTGGAGATAAAGAGTCTCACGGACTTTCCTGCCTGAGCTGGCTTTGAACTGCAATCCTCAGATCTCAGCCTCCTGAGTAGTTAGGATTATAGGCGTGATCTACCAGGACCTGGCAATTTCTTTTTTCTGGTCCTGGGTCTTGAACTCAGGGCCTGGGTGCTGTCCTTGAGCTTCTTTGAGACCAGTGCTAGTCCTCTACTTCTTGAGCCACAGCGCTGTAGTTTATTGGAGATATGAGTCTCAGAGACCTTCCTGCCTAAGCTGGCTTTGTCTGTCCTATTAAGGTTTTTTAATTGAGTAGAACTTCCAGATGTTAGTAAAACTTGGGATGAGGTGGGCACTAGATGCAGAGGCTAGACAGGGATGTGCAGCCATCCTTAGTCTTTATGTTTGACTTTTTTTCTGCTTCTCCTAAGTTGCTGGTAGTTCTACCTTCTCCTGTTTTTGCATCTCTATAGATGGCTTTTAACTGCTCCACAAGTTCTCTGTGTGACTGTTTACTTGCCCCCTGGATATCCTCAAAAGCAAAATGTCTTAAAGAGAACTCTTGGTCCCACATCTATTACTCTCTTGCTGACTTTTGTTAATGCCACTGCAATTTCCTGTCACCTAAGCACAAAATCTGGCCAGTGTTTCTCCCCCAAATCATAGCATTGCCAAGACTAGAAGGTCTTGGAAATGTCTTGCAGATCTGATTTCCCATTTTTGGGGGGCAGGAGGTATTGGACCTGAGGCTTGAACTCAGGGCCTGGATGGTGTTTCTTAGCTGTTTTGCTCAAGGCTGGTATCACGTGAGCCACAGCTCCACTTTTTTTGTTTTGTTTTGTTTTTGCTGGTTAATTGGCAATAAGATTTTTACTTATATTCCTGCCCAGGTTAGCTTTGAACTGGGACAATTCAGCTTTCAGCCTCTAGGAGTTAGGATTATAAGTATGAGCCTTGGATACCTGGTCTGTTTTCCACTTTGGATTCCTCCTGCCACAAACTCATTTTGGGCTCTGGGGCCCTCCTGCACAGGTATTCTACACAGCTGAACACCAGCAAATGCCTCCCAAGCGGAATTCCTAATGCTATTCAAGGCTCTCCTGTTCCTAACTACTGTCTGCAAAATTAAATAGAGAGGGGCTGGGAAGGTGGCTCAGTGGCCAGAGTGCTTGCCTCGCATGCATGAGGCCCTGGGTTGGATTCCTCAGCACCACATAAGCAGAAAAAGCCGGAAGTGGTACAATGGCTCAAATGGTAGAGGGCTAGCCTTGAGCTGAAGAGCTCAAGGGTCAGCACCCAGGCCCAGAGTTTAGGCCCCACGACTGACCAAAAAAGAAAAAAAATTAAATAGACATTCTTCATGCTGTATGTAAAGACACTTGAAAAATCTGGCCACAACATGTATTTTTAGCTTTCTCTGTTGCCACTCTCCTTTCTGTCTGCTTATATTTTTAATGTTCAAGGACAGTTTGTCCTAATGCCCAAACAGATCCCAGGATCCAAACTCCCACACAAGCCATTCCTTCTGTTTAGAATGTTTTCTTCCCACCTACATACTTCAGTCCAGTTGAAGAGTTTTTCCATTCTTTAATATATATCTCAAATGCCACAAAATCTTATCTCTAAAAAAATGTAAACACTGATTTCCTGATGAAATGAATTTGTTTGGAGCCAGGATGATATTCATGTTACAATGCTGGGCAGTTACTTATTACCAGCCAGCAGACTCGAGGTGCTGTTTCACTTATATGTGCAGAGTCTGAAGCACCTAATCACCATGTCCTGAACATGTCAAATATGCAGTAGATACATGAGATGCATTTTTTGGTGAAATGCAGGATTAATATAGAAAGAAAAATCCTAGACTGGAAAAGTCCACACAAACGAATGTGAGCCCAAAATATCTCCAGAACATCTCCAGAATACCACCTGTAGTGCAAAGGTTTCCAATATGGCCTGCGGCTGTTCATTATTGTATCTGATTCCTTATGAGACTTTCTGGCAATTTTAGGTAAGCCTTATGATTCTTAGTTGACAAGACATACATCAGAAACATTAGCTGATGACAGATGAAACAGAAGGCAAATGTGGGCAGCCTTCATTCAGGTTTTAGTTTCCTATGGGAGACTCTTACATGGGGATATTATCTTGTGACTTTATCAAAGGGGATTATTTATATCTCAGGAATACACGTTATGGATACCATTGAACTATATAAAACATCCTAGAGTAAGACAGATCTGTAAGTTCTCCTTTCCCAGATGTATAGGAAGTCTGAAATGAGGTAATACTGAAGTAAGGAGGCTGAGTCTAAGTAATTTCTTACAGCCATCCTGGTGCCTCTTGCTAGGTGGAGGGAATTCTACACCCAGTGCTGAAAAGCCTAGAGGTGAGAGAGACCATCCATTGAATACATGCCTAGCTCAAGGTAAGTTAGGAGGGCTCTGCTTCAGAGAAATGCAGATGTCATAGCTGTAGGAAAGCTTTGCCTATAGAGAATGCTCTGATTCTGCATTGACTAACTCCTTAAATGGCTTGAATTAGCAGCCTCTCAGTAGCCTCTAAGCATACCCTTCATGGAAGGTTAAGGCTTCTCTTCCCTAGATAGAAAAGTTCTGGTGGAACCTGAGTATATCCATTTGAAGTCTGGCATCTTATCTTCATGGTGGGGAGGAGAATGTGACCCACCCCTCAGGTGATGAGTGTTCCTGGATCCCTGGACACAGGGGTAGGCACATGGCTGATAGGTTACTGAACCTGTCAGTCCAGTGCCTGGGACTGGAGGTGTGACCCTGCCCACCATGGCCTGACCCTATGTAGGCACAGAACAGCACAGGAGCCATGATGCCATGCATGTTCCTGTCCTGTCTCTTGTCTCCCGGCTGTTCTCTGGTCATCATGGTGTCCCAATTCAACTCTTCACTGGAGCTGAATTGGTTTGTTGGCATTGTTTTTGTTCTTTCTTACCTCTCTGGCCTTCCTTGTTCTGTTTCTTAACTGTTGATGTATTTGCTGGCTGCAGTTCTTTGTAACAATTGGCTGCCTGCAGACTTGTAGTGCTCTAATAAAGACTCTAAGATTTGATTCTTTCAAAATGTGGCCTCTCTAAATTCTCACCTTACAACAATATACGAAGATATCTGACTTGTCAGCAACCATAATTTCATCTATAGGATGTCTAGCATTATACTTTTCCAATGTTAATGACATGAGGAGGTCAGGTCTGGCCAGAGCCATATTGGCTAAATGATGGATGATAGGGTCTGACATCTTGTCTTCATTGGGGGAAGGAAACCCCACTGCCCATCACTTGCCTCCTAGGTGATGGGCTTGCCTGGATCCCTGGGGGGGATGGGTGGGTGCTTGGTTGATTGGTTACTGAAGCTGTCAGTCCACTGCTTGGGACTGGGAATTTCCTGTTGATCTATATGGACCCTATTTAGGTCCAGACCAGTGTAGCCGCCATTATGCCATGCCACAAGTGTCTCCGTGATCCTCTCCTGTGTCCTGTCCCCTGGCTTGTCTCCAGTCATCATGGCATCCCAATTCAGCTCTCCATTGTAGCTGAATTGGATTGTTGGTATTGTTTTTGTTCTTTTTTTCCTCTCTAGCATGTTTCCTAGCTGTGTTATGTGTGTTTGGGGACTGCAGGCCTTTGTAACAACTGGCTGCCTACAGTCTGCTAACTATAATAAAGACTCTAATATTATATATTTCAAAATGTGACTACTGGGATGATTCACCTTATAACATTAATTAACAAAGGTGCTTACATGGTACATATTGGACCCTGCTCTGTATTTGCAGATTTGCCTTTATTTTTATATGTCTTCAATTAAATAAGCAGGAGCTAAAAATTACAGCAAATATGTGTGTTACTCATGTTTTCTTTATTTTGTTAAGGCAGGGTCTAGTTTTTTTTAGTCCAGGCTAGCCTTGAACTCATGACCCTCACCTCTCTAATGATGCAGTTGCATCATTAAAGCCACCATACCTGGCTACATCTGTGCAGTTTTGAAATTACAAAATGCACAGACAATTACAAAATGCATGCATTTCTCTGGAAATTCTGACAGAGCAAAACACCAATAGTTATAATCTGTATTATAGTAGGGATAGCTTACCTAGTAAAAATGTCTTATTTTTGGCGCATCTGGTAACAAGTGAATTTACTAACCTCAGGGTGCAATGGATGCAGGGCATTTACATGTTTGCCTTTTCTTCTGTTAGACATCTTACCCTCCCCGCTCTCAGATTTCCTTCCTTCCAATTTTCTTCCTTTCATTCATTTTTAGTGGGGTCTGAAGCTGGGGTCTGAACTTAGAGCCTCACACTTGCTAGACTGGAG